TGTGAGTTTGAGGCCAGCCTGGTCTACAAAATGAGTTTCCTCTTATTATGCACTATGTTAATTATTCCTATTGCATTATATAGTTTTATCCATGCAACAGACTTAATATCTCCATTTTTAGGTGTAGATATATCAGCTTTGAGATGTTGAATGAGTTCCTTAAAAAAACAGCTCCTGAGTTTTAGAGTTCAGAGGAGACCTCAGATATATATGGAAAAGGTGCACAGAACTTGTTTATAGTTTATCTTAAACATTATATGACTATCATATAAGTTATGGAAAGAACATAAAAGATATGTTTGAAAATATCCATAATCTCTTACTCAGGAAAAATAAGAACCACAGGTTAGCATTGCTCTTTCTTTCTAGTATTTCTTTGCATACTAAACAGCAATATTTGTAATTTTTAATGTGTATTATGATTCATAAAACATATTATATAAAATGATATCCTTAATATTTATAGTCACATAAGAAATCTTATTTTAAAAGTAAAGCATATGTTGACTCTTATGGGAGGAAAAACTATATTTTACATGTTATTTTAAAATATATTCTCAAAATAGAACCAGTAATTTCTTAAATATTAATTTTGAGTGATTTCTCATCATGTGAGATAAATACAACGATTACATGTGTTTCTGTGGACAGATGTTAATGATTATATAAATTTTTGTTTCTAATATATTCAGTTGGAGGAAATATATCAGAATTGCAAAAGGAAATTCCAGGGAACTATTAAAATCATTTTTTAAAAAACTGGGTGGCCAATTCTGTTCCACAAGATGAAATTGCTCCAGGCAAAACTACAGACTCATATCTGAAACAGCAAATACTGAGTGAAGCAGTCAGTTCCAGCAGTACAGTGATGAGAAAGTCTGTAATGCAAATGTCTTCCTTACACAATGGCTCAGAGTTATGAGAGAGGATGGACTTTATGCTAGGATGATGCATTACTTCAGCTGCAAGCTAATGATACATTTATGTGCCTTAAAATGAAGGGGTAACTTTATTCACAAAGGTTATCTTCAGTTAGAGTAAACAAATTAATTTTAAATAGCTGTGGCCCTCTGGCCAGATTCTATTTCAAGTAACTGGGATGGGTGTGAAGTTGGGGTTGAATGCCCTAGTTCTCTGGCTCGACATACTCTCTCTTTAGTAATTTCAATTTTTTAAGAATTTCATCATTGTTTTTTATTTTAATGTAATGCATACAACTCTAAATTCTTTGTATTAGCATAGAGAAAAGTAAAACCAATTGGAAATCATGTCTCTGACCTCACCAAGAGTGAGTGACCTTACCACTGATATCCCTCTATTTATAAAATGGAGATCTGAACTGAAGTGAGAAAATTGAGTGACAAGACCACACTAATAGAGCACACAGTTGATGTCTGTTAATATCACCACACATGAATGAGACCACTACCACAATTTTGAGCCAAATTTGAAGCAAGCTTTAATTAAATACTGGCCAGGATGGTGAACTGTGGCCAGGACCATTTTTTGGTTCCCAGAAAATGGCATCAAGCCAACTTTTGCTAAGGTTTAAAAAGACCGATTAAGGCTAATTGTTTCCCACCAAGTCCAATCAGGGGAAACATATATCCTGACATATTTTCTGCCCACCTATTTCTTGCTAATGCATTTCCTGACTATGTACTTCCTACTGTAGAGGAATTTTAATCCAGGGATATGGCTGCTCAGGAAAGGAATCACAGCTAAAGACCTCAAGGTCTATGTTATCCAGCCGGAATGCAAACAGACTAGATTAAATTTGGGCAGAATATAAACATGCCCTTTAATATACACCTTAAATCCCTGATAATGACATCTAATTGAGGGGCAGGAAAAGTGACCAATCAAAGAAAGATTTGGCAGAATGAGTCAGAGAAAAGACATGCCCAACTCTCATGAGAACAGACAGGAAAGAGAGGCTACTTAAAGACTAGTGAAGGACAGAAAGGCAGTCCATTTTAGTTTAGTTCATTTAAGTTCAGAGAGTTTGGTTCTGTGCAGTTCTCTTGAGTGCAGTTGAGCTCAGAGCAGAGCAGTTGAATACAGAGCCATTCAGTTTGTAGAGTTTAGAGGCAGTCTTTCTAAGCAAAGCAATTCAGTCAGAATCTGAGAGAAACCAGATTGTATCAGTCAGCTTGGAGAGGAGTTTGAGCCTCAAGCATTGAATAGAGTTGAGTTGAGTTGAACCAGTCAGCCAAACTTCAGAAAGCTAGAAAGGTTGAACTTATTAAGCAGTAAGTATCCAAGACGACAACTACATCTGTCAAGTAAAAGATACCTTTTTACATACCACCTGCTTGTGGTCCAACACATCTGGTGCAGTTATGTCAAACAACTTCTTCAGGGGAGTAAAAATATGGGTCTTATTGTCATCCATAAACAATAGCGTCCAGAAAAAGAAAAAAAAATTCTAGAAAGTGTCTGTCCTTGGGTAAGGGGCCTATTAAGTTAGAGGCATCTTTGTTCTATGGATCTTTTAGGCACAGAAATTAAAAATTAAAATTTAACTTTGGCTCTGGCATACCCTAATGAAAATTTTAAATTTCTACTATGTTCACTTTTAAACAAATCACTTTTCAGTAACTTTAAGACCTCTAGAGTTACACATATCTAAACTCATTGACTGTCTACTGACTCCTCTACCCAATCATGGCTATGCTTCCTCTTTTTCCCAAAGAAATGGGGTGTCTTTGTATATAGGGGGATTCAAACCCAGACCTTCTTTGTCAGTCTTGAATTCTATGTAATATGTTAAAGCTACCTACTTCACCTATGTAATCAGGAACCACATGTGAGTTAGGCTGTGTTTATACTTGTAACTGACAAAGATGCCACTGTACACAAAAGGAAATAATTAGTAGAGTCTGAATAGATGTAGCCTCTAATTTTTTCTACTGCTCACGTCTATGAAAAGTAGTGGTCACACTGTGATTAGTATTCTGAACATGGGGTGATGACAAACTATGCTTTTTTATAATCATGAGATGGCAAAATTACCCACTCTCAAAGGACCAGCTGCTCTATGGAGGTTGGCATCCCTGATAAATGCCTACATTCTCAAAACTATTTTAATTGGTAGCTTTCTGCATTTTTGTTGTTGTTGTTGTTAGAGAGGAAATGTATGTGTAAGCCTATTAAAGCCATTCCATCTGTTCTGATAAAATAACATCACTGTTTCTTAGTGAAACCTTCAATTTCAGGAATTTGAGGCTGCTGTGTGTTCTTATATAGGCAAGGATTTTGTAATAATAGCCTCTTAAACAGAAATATAAAGAATTATGGAAAACTACACTTAAAAAATATTCCCATGCATTTATACATTTATATAGTATATCCATGAGAGATTTATATGTTGACATAGTAGGCATAGAATACATGAATTAGCACACCACTATATATTTATATATTAATTCATTATTATTACTTAATTCAAATATTAATATGTTTGAGGGATCCAGATTTATCTAGGTACTAGAGTACTTGCCGAGCATTTATGAAGGTGAAGGCTTATCCATAAAGTACTATAAAATAAATATAAATATAAAAAGAAAACTGGTAGGTAGATTAATGGTGGTGATAATGATGATGAAGATGAAGACAGATTGTAGATAGACAGTAGACAGACTGATAAATAATTGATAAATTTGAGAACAAATCCAATCTCTGCCCAACCTACCAGTAACTCTAATAAAAGGGCCTAACTACTTATATTATTACAAATTATACTCATTTCCACAATGGACATGATTGTTACTCCATAAAGCTATTAAAAATTCATTGTTAGGAATGCCACACATTAATACATACAACACTAACAACACATCTATTAGAAGTTTATTATATACTTGGATCTATGGAAGAGCTTATATGAATGTTGTCTAGTTTGTTCTTCCCTAAATCCTTCACCGTAGATATTTATTGTTATTAATGAATGTGGAGGCTTAGCGAGGTTGAGAAAATTACCCATAATTTTGAACATAGAGGAAGAAAATCCAACAACTGAATTTTAACTGTTTTTTTTATTTTCAACAAATACTTACTAAATAATGTATCTCTTAGACAAAACTGGACACTGGAAGGGAAAGCAGGGAATAGAAGTTGGACAAGGTTTTAATCATACTCATTTCTTCTGGTGACTTTAAGGAGAAGGGATTCAAAGATAACAAAGAGGACAGAAGAATATTAAGCACAAGGTTGTGAAAGTCATCTAGGGACTAGAGGGCATTGACTTCTACCAGGAGGAAGCAGAGAAGCTGAAAACTGGATGTTCTCTGCAGATTTATCTGAATATATACTGATAGAGAGAAGAAAGGGTCAGACAAGAATTGTTCCTGATTTTGACTTGGAGCAACAGATAAGCTGAAATGGGTAATATTAAAATAAATGGGCAGAGTGAAAATTAATTCCTGGCAAAGATAATTAAAGATAATTTGCCAACAAGCTTAACACATTAAGATAACTGTTTTACATGATTTTTCTTCTTCCTACATAGTTATATTTTTGAGAGTTTCTACAATTATTGCATAACACTTTTATATCTAGCGAGTTAAGAATTTTGCAAAGTAAAGTGTTAAAATTATATCTGTTGTGTCTATATAGTTTGCCATAGTAAGTTCTGAGAAGCCTTTAGATCATAACTTCCAGTCCAACAAAATAAGATAGTAAAAATAATGATATCATTGACAGCTATCTTAAAATGCATGTCCTTCTAACTATGCTGTATGCCACACAATCCTAATTGCACTTCCACAGTAGAGTCTAAAATGGAAACTGGCTAGCCTTGTGATAAGTGTGTGGAGTGTTGGGCAGTCAAGGTGTATGAGCGTGACACAATTTCTCATACTATAAATAAGGAACCTTCCAAATTTCAACATTTTCAAATCTCTCACTGTCTTGCCCCCTTGTTAATGTGGACAGTTATAATGAATTCCTCTCTTGAAGCTCCTCACCGCTGCTGAACCTTGCCTTTTCCTCCCTTGCAGGGTCAACGATTGTATCTTGCGGGTGAATGAAGTTGATGTGTCGGAGGTTTCCCACAGTAAAGCAGTGGAGGCTCTCAAGGAAGCGGGCTCTATTGTGCGGCTGTATGTGCGCAGAAGACGACCCATATTGGAGACTGTTGTGGAAATCAAACTTTTCAAAGGGCCAAAAGGTAATAAAAAACTTATATTGAGACACAAATGTCAAATTTTATCTAAAGTTTACTCCATTTTCTGCCTATAAAGACTTTTAATTCTCTGATCTTCATTGCCTGCTAGCAGCTTTGACAATCTGTGATAGCGTTTTATAGAGATGGTTGAAGAAACCAGAACTCTACGTACAAACTCACATATCAAGAACGTATATTTATGTAGGGAGTACCGTAAATGATAACAACCACCACAATATTGTCCATGAATTTTTTTAACTGACAGACTCATTATAACTTAGGCAGCGTATTAACACTTCCTAATATTTAAAATATGCATGGTACGTTTTCTCATAAAACTCAATATAAGAAACAATTAAAGAGAATCTTTATAGGGCTAAGGAGATTGCTTAATAGTTAGGGGAGCTTACTGCTCTTACAGAGGACCTGAGTTCAGTTTGCACCGCCCATATCAGATCCCTCACAACCACATGTAACTCCAGCTACAAGGGATCTCACATCCTCTGCCGGCTCCATGCACAGCCTCACACAGAAACATACACATAAATAAAATGTAATAAATGTTGCCAGTAAGTACTGCATTGATTTTAACATAGAGAAAATTCATTTTTTGTTTTTTTGTTTGTTAGTTTTTAGTGTTCATAGATATCTACGGATTCTTGTGTGTGCCCCAAGGACCTGTGTGAACACTGAGATTAAATCCTCATTGTAATCTCACAACATTGATATCAACATTACTCAAATAGTATTCAGATGCTTCAGAAAACTTTAATAATTAGTTTAACACAATTGAAATTTTTGTTTCTATGCTTATTTTTTTTTTGATACATGGTTTCTTTGTGCAGCTTTGGCTATCCTGAAACTAGCTCTGTAGACCAGGCTGGCCTCAAACTCACAGAGATCCTCTTGCTTCTGCCTCCCAAGTAAGCATGCCCGCTTCTGCCTGGACTCACAATTAATGTTTTAAATTATGTTTCTCTATAGTCTATTTAATGTCTAATAGTAAGTATGTAGTTGAAACAAAAAGCATTTCACCTTCTCTCGGGGACATTATTAAGAGTCATTTGCCATCAACTTAAAAATCAGACAAACTCATTAGAATAGTAGTTCAGCCATTTACTAATGGAATTACCTTCATTAAATCCATGGACTTAATGAGACCAAATATGTTTAAAAGAGCTTGTACGTAGTAGGGAGAAGTATCAACTAAAAGTCACTGTGAAACATCAGGAAGTAGGGGGAAAGTGGAGACAGAACCCACGAAGATGCCCAAGATTCAGAATCCAGAGGCCTGCATCAGAATGCAGACATGACTTTGTTGTTTATAAAATAAGCTTATATATAGCTTTTTAGTCAATTAGAGTATGTTTATGTATCCAAAGGCAAATCGATGTGCAACATGTGTTGTTTCGCTAAATCTGACCCACCTTCCCATGAGCCTTTAGGAGAGGGTCCAATCCCCTGAGAAGATTTGTGTGAAGACGGAGGAAACTGCCATCGCTCTGGCCTGCAGGTGGGGAGAGGGTTGTGTGGTCTCACTTGTGTGCAGAGAACAACGTCAGATCATACACTATGTATACTAGGTCAGGACTCTTCAAGAAGTTGCAGGAGCTTGTGGCATGTTGCTCTCCGTCCTACCAGGTTTATCTCCACGTCCTTCACAGGTGCAGAGCATGTAAGTTCAACCCCAGCTCTGCCCTTCACTAGTTCTCCGACTTTGGCTAGAAAGGTTTCCCTCACTGGTCCTTGATTTTCTCACCTACAGACCACAAGTAAAAACAAGGCTTGTTCTCTGAGATATTATGGTGATTCATTGAGACAGTTCACATATCTGAATTAAATCCTTGTGCAAACTGACCACTCAGGAAATATTAGCTATGCATGTAGGCTATTCAAAGTAAAAAAAAATTTACTGAATATGGTAATGGATTTTTAGTAGTGCAATGAACATGCTTAGAGGTTCCTCATGAAGTAAGTGCGGGTACATTAGACTTCAGTGTGAAGTAAGTGCGGGTACACTAGAATTCAGTGTGAGTGGGAGTCTGCCCCGTCCATTCCTTAAAGTCACGCTGGCAGTTTGCTTTTGAAGCCAAACAAATGGAACATAGATTCTTCTATTAAAAATATACACTCTATATAAATAATATGTGTCTATTTATACAACTCAGCTACAGCAATTATTCATCATTTCCCTAAGCAAAGGCTAATTTAAGCCCTCAGGAAAATATTGCCATTCTTTTGCTAGCTTCCTGCTCTGAGTCACTGGATGACCTCCAGCTGCTCTGAAAAACACTGAAAGGCTGTAAGGAACTGATGACCCCACCTCTGTAATTTTACCAAGAACATATTTGTTGCTCTTTATTTTGACACCAGGCCTCCTCCAACTCTTTTACTTCATGCTGAACTATTCTCTTCTTTGAGGCTGAGGTAGGGCAATAATGTCTTATGACATGAAGGAGGGAACTAAAAAGTGAGAGCTGATTAAACCTCTATGCAGACAGTAACCCAAAGAACATACATAATATATGAGGATGATTTCCTGAACCAAGAAAATCCTAGGGACGAATTTCCATACTGAAAGCTGGTTCTATAGAGCCTGTGGACCAATGTGCTGAGTCAGTTATATTTTTTTTTTTATACTGGATCTTTTTGTTTAGGTCTGATTTATTTCTCTAAACCAATGGCTCTCAACCCGAGGGTTGTGACTTCTCCAGGGGTCGCATATCAGATATTTACATTATGATTTATACTAGTAGCAAAATTGTAGTTATGAAGTAGCAATGAAATGATTTTATGATTGTTGTCAGCACAAGAAGGTTGAGAACCACAGGTTTATACATAGCCTATTGGTTTTTAAGGAAAGAAAGTGTTCAAGTTGTTTGAACTCCAGCTGTTTCTTCTTGTGCTTGAATCTCATTAACTGTAGAATTAGAGTAACTTATATGATTAAAGTGTTTATTAAATCTAAATGAATATGGCATTATTTACTCTCATATACTATAATTTTTAGTTTTATAATTGCAGTATTTTTGAAAAATATTTCACCATGATAAACTTGTATCAGGGAAGCTCTAATTCTTTATGAAGGATAAAGATTAGCAAGTCTCTTTCCTCAAACAAATTCTAATAAAAATGAATCTAAAGTCAACCTATTTGATGATTTTGCAATGCAAGATGACATTGATTCTAGGGAGGAGCTGAGTAATGCTTTTAATGGGGATGGACTGGAGTGGGGAGAAGTGGCTGTTTGTGTGACTCATCTTAGCCAGAAGAATGAGAACACTTCACAGAACTGAAACATTCCACTCTTCCATGTGCATGCCCTTCCCTATCTGGTCTTCTTGGACCACATAGTTGTCAAAAGGTACACATCAGTATGCTAGCCAGTCAGATGTATTCAACTAAGTCTATTTAACATATGGCTGTCTTGTTATACAGTAATCTTGTCCTTCAATCTTTCAACAAATACTTATTAAATATTTGCTGTGTATATGACACTGGTAGATAAGGGTTCGCAAAAAGAGGAGGTAAATCTTGCTCCCAAGGAAATTATAGTCATGTAAGGAAAATATCTGTAACATAAACTTAGAAAACTAAGAGGAAGTGGAAAATATTGAAAGAGAAGAGATTATGTAATATGCCAAAGGAGTCAAAGGCTACCCAAACTAACTCCTGAATTACAGATGAAAATAGCCAGATAGCAATATAGTAGAACATTTTGGGTACAGATAAAAGCATGGCAGTTCAAGCATAAGAAAGATCTTCATAGTGTCTAGTATTCAAGTAGTGGAACAAAGAGTGACCATATGAGTGACCATAAGACCTGAGGTAAGTGGAGGCCAGATCATGCTTTGCTGACTTAATAATACTTAAAAGTTTGGAGTTATATAAATGCAGTGGGAATTAAAAATTAAAGCATAGGATAACTATGATAAGATCCACCATCATTATCAATTCATTTTTGGCTGGAAAACAAATTGAAAAGGCAAGAATGAAAGCCACGCTCAGTTAAACATGTCCCAGAGGAGAGGCTGGTGAAGGTGGAGTTGTGCTCTGTGTTGAAAACATGTTAAACACACACAACTGAATACAGCCAACTCATTAGAAAGCTAATGTTTGTCATTGTGTATCTATGTGGTCAAATAGGACCAGATAGGAAACTGCATGCACATAGCATGTGACATGTTCTCTAGAATGTTTTGACTCTTCTAGCTATGATGAACAATACAGTCCACACTTAGTGCTAAACTATGTGTGGGGTATTCTGCAGAGGAGGCCCAGTTTTCTAAATGGGACTCAGTCTGTCAAATGAGGAAGGCTACAGAGAAAGTTCTGAAGAAATGTGATTAGGAATTCACTGGGGGACTTCATAGAAGCTCACTGTGGATTTCTAATAAAAGTAAAAATGCTGTTCTCAACATGAAAAATTCCCTTTACCTTGTTATTAGAAATTTAGTCATTGAAGGCATCTGGGGTATCTATGTATTGTCAGTCAGTTGAGAAAAAAATATAGGTAATCCTGTGTAGAAAGTAGTAATTAATCAGATCTATTTAGGTTTTCCAAGAAATCAAAAATTAAAGAAAATCTGAATGTGTCAGGGGTATTCCAAGGAAAGAGATTTATAATAAAAGCCCTCTAGTGGATTTCCCAGAAAGCTCCCAGAATTCCCCTTAGTCTAAACCAACCAAAGAAGTCTGTCATTAAACACACATCAAGACCACTGGTTACTGTGGCCCAACCTAAACAAACTTCTCCATGAGAAGTTAGGTGGCACCATTTCGTCACGCTGGGTTACCATACATATGAATAATATACTTTGAGCACTACCCTCCCCTTTCTTACTTTTAAATTTAATTTTATATTTTTACTTATTCATTTGACATCCCACTCACTGTCCTCACCCAGTCATTCCCTCCCACAATCCTTCCCTTTTCCTCTGAGCCAGTGGGGTCGCTCCCCCATACCCTGCCCCCTGTATCATCTCCCACCCTGGCACTTTAAG